ATAACAGTGTTACTTACAAGTGCTTAAACTCAGTGACGTCATTTCAAATATTCTTTAAAACGCTTTATTTTGTATTGGTTTTTGCATAAATAACTTTATTATAATATAAAAAAAAATGTCTGATATTATGGATTTGGAACATCATAAATATATGGAAGAGTATAAGCAAAATCTAGATGAATTAATACCAGTTGTAGGTGTTAAAATATTTTTATATTCATATAAAAGTGATATTCTTTCCAGTTTTTTTATCTGTTTATTATTTTTATTTTAATAATTGATTAGATATGGATATTTTTAAGTGTATATAAAAAGTGTTAAGATTACAATTTGTATACGAGAATGAAATAATATTATTTATTAAATAATTTTTTGCCAAAATTATGAATATTCCATTATAACCCAACCCATGTTTCTTAGAAAGATAATATAATATAGAACATGTTTTTCTCATGACTTTTTGAATGTTTTTGAATTTGAAACAGTAATTTTAACCAAACCCATATTTAATTAAACATTTTAGTGTAAATAACTAAAAATGATAATTTCAAAAAGTTTTCCAATGTTATATGTTGTTTTTGGCAAGTTTTTTTTAGCTAGAATTCATTTTTTTTATGTATTTATGTAAATGTTCAAGCCTTGTTAGAAATTGAAATTATATGAAGACATGATTTATTTCTTTGAAATATTCACAATTGTTATCTTATCTTGAAATAAAGTATTGTGACAAGAAATATTTTGAAAACTTAAACATTATCATTGATATGGAATGATTGGAAATTATGAAAGACAGATTTTTTTTAATGAAATAGGTTTAATAATATATTATATTCAAAGTGTTTGCCAAATGAAATTTTACGTCGATTGTAAACATTTTAAACAACTATCTTTAGCCATAAATAGCCCCTATGAGCTAGTAAAATTGTATTTACCTCATCTATAAAAAATTATTTTTCCCAGTTAATTGCTACTATGTTTTGACACACACTTTAACTAAATAATAGATTATTTTAATGGACATATTTTAAAAATATATGAGTTTATTGTTATGAAAATATACACCTTTTGATAAGGTTTTACCTTATTACCCAAAATTTACTTTAAGAATCATTCAGTTTTATTGCTTGTATAAAAATTTATACCCTTATATTCAAAAATCATTGATAAACGTTTCATCATATTATTCTACAAATTGTTAGATTTTTATTTTTGTCTTTTAATTTTACATCATACCTATTCTTCCATCCCTGACTACCGTTAACTTTGTTTCGGAATTTTTTTATATCTCCGTGATTTATGGATCGATTTTGCTGGTTTAATATAAAAACTTATCGAAAGTATGTCTGATAGAATTATACATGCAAGATTTGGATTTCGGATATATATGGGGTATTCGGAGGGTTACTTCGTCTCCAGAGTGTACCTACGTAAAATTTACAATTTAGATCGAAAATTTAGAAATCTCTTGACATTATCTCGCGTTATTAAATCTATAATTATACCCACCATCAAAAAAGATGGGTGTATATTGATTTTGTCATTCCGTTTGTAACACATCGAAATATTGGTCATAGACTCACAAAAGTATATCGAGGGACTATATTCAATAGTCGCTATCTCTCATTTTTATGAAAATGAGATTTTGATGGCAAAATATTCAGCAAACTATCGCGCATCAGTGATATAAATTTCAAAGAAAAAAAAAATTTTTTTTGGCAATTTTATAGCATTTTTTAAATTTCTCTATCTTAAAAAAAGAAAAATTCTGAATACAAAACTCTCTATCTTATCCAAAAATTGCTTCAAACTCGATCCCTTTGGATAATTTTCTGTTGCAAAACAAGTCTTCTTAATAATTTGGACATGCTGAACACAAATCCGTCAAAATATTTAAAATCGGTCTAATAGTTTTTGAGATATCGCTCATTATGATACTAATTAAATCAATTTTATTGTCTTGTTTAACCATATAACATTGATTTTGGACCAAAACATTATAATCTGTTGCTTTTTCAACAATTTGGTTTCTTTTCCTCCATGAAATTGTATGAACATTTTCGTAGAAAAATAAGCTCTATCTGATATAAATTTATGAATAATTTTGTAAATAATGCAAAAATTAAAATTCTTTTTATATAATGGTTTAGAATATGGTCGTAAAAATATATTGTAGAAGAAAAAATTAAAAAATCTTCACGAACTAGCGAAATAAACAGTTTTTTTGCTCTCCTGAAAGCTTGTATTATTTTAGATAGAGACTATTGAATATAGTCCCTCGATATATATTCTGGGTCCTCATTAAATTCTAAGACGATCTAGCCATGTCTGTCCGTCCGTCTGTCTGTCTGTCTGTCTGTTGAAAACACGATAGAGTCCTAATGGAAAGAGCTAGAGGGATGAAATTTTACATAAATATTTGTTATAGGTAAGGTTTGTCTGGTATTGAAAATGGGCAATATCGGTCCACGTTTTCGGGTAGCCCCCATACAAGTGGCACCTCGAAAATACGAATATGGCAATGAAATTCGACATAAGTAAGTTTCTTATGATCCGAAATCACTATGCAAAATTTTATGAGGATCGGTTCATAATTGACCCTACTCCCCATATAAGGTCCCCTTCAGAAAATGATTTTAACGCTCATTACTGGCTTAAAAATACTAGTATATAGATGAAATTCGACATAAGTAAGTTTCATACGAGTCAAAATCTATCTAAAAAATTTTATGAGTATCGGTCCATGATTGACCCTACCCCCCATATAAGGTCTCCTTCAAAAAATGACTGCAACGCTCATTAATGGTTTAAAAATACGAGTGTAGCAATGAAATTCGACACAAATAAATTTAATACGAACCAAATTCTGTCTACCAAATTTATGAGGATCGACTCATAATTGACCCTACCCCCCTATATAAGGTCCCCTTCAGAAAATTACTTTAACGCTTATAACTGGCCTAAAAAATACGAGTATATCGATGAAATTCGACATAAGTAAGTTTCATTCGAGTCAAACGAGGTTTGATGGTGGGTATATAAGATTCGGCATAGCCGAATATAACACTCTTACTTGTTTTTTTTTTACTTATTTCAATACCAAATAACAGAACTAGAAATCTACATAAAAGCAAATTCTTATGAATCTAAACGAAAAACTTTTTGGGATTTATCATATCTACTTTTTAATTATTTAAACAAATATGGACAAAAGCATTAATATGAATATTTTAGTTATCTAAATAAATACGCAAGACAATCTTTATATCTGCTACATATGACAGTATGTTGTTATTAATTTGCTATAAGGTTTTTGTAAATATTTATATTTGTTTCAAAAACTTTTGAAATTAAAAGACACTTATTAATTAATAAAGTCTATATAAAGACTATTAAAACTGTTTTCTCAATAAGAAATTATTTCCTTACTTTAAAGCGTTTATATTTTAATAAATTAAGCAAGTGTTTTGTTAACAATGAAACCAAAATATAAAACCTTTTATTTAAAGTCAATTTACTTAAGTAAATATTGGCGTTTTATTTAATAATTATTATAAGCTACCATACAAAAAATTAAAGAAAAACACTTATATTCAACCCTAGACACAGCTGTGTGCTTACTGTGATCTATTGGCCAAAAAATATCGGCTTTAATTTCTACATTTTCAATGACTGTTTACTATTTTAACACTGCAAATGTGTTTGTTTAATGAGTTCACTAAAAATGTTTAGAAAAAATGTAGGTTGTTATACCCTACACCACTTTAGTGGGGAGGGTATATTGGATTTGTGCTGATGTTTGTAACATACAAAAATATTCGTCCTAGACCCACCTTAAAGTATACCAATCGGCTTAGAATCGTTTTCTGAGTCGATTAAGCTATGTCCGTCCGTCTGGCTGGCTGGCTGTCCATGTAAACCTTGTGCGCAAGGTACAGGTCGCAATTTTCAAGATAATTGGATGAAATTTGGCACGCACGTTTTATTTGACCTAAGCCTATTGAAAATGGTTAAAATCGGTCCATTATTTCACCTAGCCCCCATAGAACAGAACCCCCCGAAAAGGGCTTCTGAGCTCATAATTATGTTAAATATACAGATATATCGGTAAAATACGGCACAACTAAGTTTTATAGAAGTCTTGATGACCCTGCCAAATTTCATAAAGATCGGGCCACATTTGACCCTAGCTCCCATACAAAGTCCCCTTCAGAAAATTACTTGAATGTCCCAAATTAGCTTATAAACACAAATATCGCGATGAAATTCAGCACAATAAAATATTATGTCAATATAAATATATTCACAAAATTTTATCGGGCTTGGTCCATATTTACCCATAGCCCCCATATAAAGCCTCTTTCAGAAAATTAGTTTTTCATCCATAAATTGCTTAAATGTATCGGAACAAGGGAATATTGAAGATAAATGCTTTATTATGAAAAATAAATCACATTTAATATTCATAACTGGTGTAGGGTATCATATGGTCGGCCCGCCCGACTATAATTTCTTACTTGTTTTTATTTGCAAACAAATATTGAAAACAGGTTTAAATAATGATGATTAACTGTAGAAATTTTGCCTGTCACCCGCTTAAAAACAGAGCTTCAAATAAAAACATATTTTTGTTTATAAAACAAACATAAATTAAATGAATTTGTATGTTATAATTTCCATAAATTTGATTCTTTCAACAGCCTGATTATATATTTAAAATATTTAAAAATAATTGCAAATATTTCTCAACATTTTAAATATTTTATCTGTTTTGTTTATAAATAAGTATGAATGAACATGAAGTACTTATGAGTCACTTAACAAATTTTTTTGTTGTTGTTGGCATTTTTTGTAATTTAGTCAGCTAAATTGATCAATATTTAATTTATTCATATAAATGAATGTTATGAATAATAGTTGTATAAATTTAAAACAAAAATCCGTTACAGTATGACTTTTGTTTGCTAATTTCTTCTCTTTTTTTTCTTCTTTTATATTTACAGATTGATGCCAACAAAGATGGTTTCATTGACCTTAGTGAACTTAAAGAAGCTCTTGATCAGGTCGGCTTTAAATTGCCCGGCTATCAGGTGCGTGAAATGATCGATGAATTCCAAAACAAACAACGTACCTCTCACCAGGGTAAATTGAATTTGGAAGAATTTGAAAATCTGTGCCTGGACCTCAAGTCAAAAGATGTGGCCAGTACCTTTAAAACAGTGGTGTCTAAAAAAGAAAATCTCGAAACGTTGGGCGGTATGTCGAGCATTTCTTCGGAGGGTACCACACATTCCGTGCGTCTCGAAGAACAATTGGCCTTTTCCGATTGGATTAATTCCAATTTGGGTCATGATCAAGATTTGAAACATTTGCTGCCCATCGATAATGAGGGCAAACGTCTGTATCAATCCATTAAGGATGGTATTTTATTGTGTAAAATCATTAATCATTCCTGCCCCGATACAATTGACGAAAGAGCCATCAATAAAAAGAATCTTACGGTTTATCGTGAATTTGAAAATTTGACTTTGGCTTTAGTTTCATCACAAGCTATTGGCTGTAACATTGTTAATATTGATGCTCACGATTTGGCCAAGGGCAAGCCACATTTAGTATTGGGTTTGTTGTGGCAAATCATTCGTATTGGTCTCTTTAGTCACATTACCTTGGATAGCTGTCCTGGTTTGGCTGGTCTCTTATTTGATGACGAACGTCTAGAGGATTTGATGAAATTGTCGCCTGAAGCCATATTGTTGCGTTGGGTTAATCATCATTTGGAACGTGCTGGCATTCAGCGTCGCTGCACCAATTTCCAATCCGATATTGTGGATTCGGAAATCTATTCACATTTGTTGAAACAAATTGCTGGCAATGATGCGGATGTTAATTTGGATGCTTTACGTGAGACCGATTTAACATCTAGAGCCGAAATTATGTTGCAACAAGCAGCCAAATTGAACTGTCGCAGCTTCTTGACACCACAGGACGTAGTCAATGGAGTCTACAAGTTAAATTTGGCCTTTGTTGCTAATCTATTCAACAATCATCCCGGTTTGGATAAACCAGAACAAGTAGAAGGTCTAGAGGCCATCGAGGAGACACGTGAGGAGAAGAGTAAGTGTTCTTAAACATGTTTTATTTCTATTAAATGTAGTTTATTAATGGACTTGGATTTCTTTAGCTTACCGCAACTGGATGAACTCTATGGGTGTTAGCCCCCATGTAAATTGGTTGTATTCCGATTTAGCCGATGGTTTGGTTATTTTCCAATTATTCGATATCATTAGACCCGGTATTGTTAACTGGAATCGTGTACACAAACGTTTTACTCCCTTGCGTAAATTTATGGAAAAATTGGAAAATTGCAATTATGCTGTGGAATTGGGTAAACAATTGAAATTCTCTTTGGTGGGTATTGCTGGCCAAGATTTAAATGATGGCAATGCTACTTTAACTTTGGGTAAGTTGTTTGTTTATTGTTATTGTTATTGCTATGTGAATAGTTTTATAAATAATGTTTTTTATTTGTGTGTGTGTGTTTTTAGCTTTAATTTGGCAATTGATGCGCGCCTATACTTTATCCATTCTCTCACGTTTGGCCAATTCTGGCAATCCCATAGTCGAAAAAGAAATTGTACAATGGGTTAACAATAAATTATCCGAAGCTGGCAAACAGTCAACTTTGAAGAATTTCAATGATCCTGCTATTGCTGATGCTAAAATTGTTATTGATTTAGTGGATGCCCTTAAGGCTGGCAGCATTAATTATGAATTAGTGAGAACAAGTGGTACTGAAGAGGTAAGGTTTTTTTTTTGTTTAATTTGAAAATTAAAAAAGGAAGTGATAAATCATATAATTTTGAATTTTATAAAAGAATTTTTGAATTAATGTAATGTATTTTATTGTTGTTGTTGTTGTTGTTGTAACAGCTAAACTATACAATTTTTAAGTCAGGGGTTCTGTATTTAGGTCGAAGCCAAGAAATTTAGTCCATTAAGTAAAGTAGGGTGGGCTGGACAGTTGAATACGTGGTGGGTATCATGGGACCCTGTCCATATGCTATGCATATATTGGGAAAGAAAAGGTCTATGCGAGACTAGTAGGCGTTGAGCATTGCTCTATTTTTTTCCGCGACAGGTTCTCCTCTATAAGCAGAACGGTAACCGGAAACCGCGGTATTGATGGCGTCTCTGTGAATGTCGTTTAAATCTGCTGTATACGAATTACGAACCAAGGGATCCTCAACATATCTTCGTATGCTCTCCTCGTTTAAACGAAGTTCCTTCCTTACATGCCTCGGGGGACCATCCAGCTGTGAAAGTAGGAATTGTTCAGTCAACATGACATTATGTTCCAAGACAGGGAGAACCTTCGTTTTCTAGCGTAGGTGGTTCTCCGAGGTTATTTGCATGCAGCCGTTTACACTGGAGCAGCATAATTGACCACACTATAGAAGCAAAATTAACCGGCCAATTGTTTCATAGGTAACCAACAAGGTTTCTTGTCCATTTCTCAAGTGCTGCCGGCTAGCGCTTTTGTTTCTACTTCGCAATCTGTTCGTAATTGCAGTGGTATGAGCTGACTAGGTAAACAAGCTGTCAAAGTTGACCACCAAAATCTAAATGGAGTATTTGGGTTCCAACGACTACCACGCCCAAATTCATGTTTACCTCCATCGTCCAGGTAGTGAAGAGTTTTGCTGAAGACTTTGCTGGTGATAGTTTCAGGTTACGTCCGATGAAGAAATTCTCTATTTCTTTGAGATAATCATTCACTCGATCGCATAGCTCAACAAAATTTTGGGCCGTCGCCATAATGGTATAGCCTATGATTTAACTTCAACACTTTGTGAAGGTGTGGGGAGTTTAGTGAGGTGAAGTTAAACAGTAGGCGGATAGGACAACGCTCTGTGGTACTCCCTGTTTAACTCTACTGGTTTTCAATTGTCTCTAAACTCAACGAACTACTGACGACCATTCAGGTTTAATTGTCGAACATGACCGACTATATATCTGTTTGAACAAACATTTTCAATATTTTTAAGACAAATTAAAATTTACTTCTTTTTGAATTCTCCACGTGACCTATTATAGTTTGTAGAGCAGTTCACAACATCATATTTTAATATACCCCGAAAAAAAACGATTTTTAATTCTTGTTAAAAATAGTATGTTTCGGATAACCTGTTGGGGGTTAATGGTTTTATCATAATAATTAATAACAAAAATTTCAATATTTTTTTTTCTAGGACAATTTGGCAAATGCTAAATATGCCATTTCCATGGCTCGTAAGATTGGTGCACGTGTCTATGCTTTACCCGAGGATATTACAGAGGTGAAACCCAAGATGGTCATGACTGTATTCGCCTGTATGATGGCCTTGGATTACATACCCAATATGGATAGTGTAGAAAATCAAAATAATATTAACAACAGCAACTAATATGCCAAATATAAAAACAATAACAACGACAAATAATCTTAATAACTACCACCATTACAAAAGAAGAAAAAGATAAACAGTCATAAACAAATGATTGAATGGAAATGAATTGATAAGCGTACGCAGCAAATAAAATTCCCGGAAAAAAATAAAACGGCATGAAGTAATAACGAGTGTTTATTCTTTTTTTTTTTTTTTAATAATACAAATCAATGGTTTATTTGCTTACAAATAAATATATATAAAACAACAACAAAAACAAACAACGCCAATTAAGTAATTATGTATTTATATAATTTTTATTTTTTTTAGAAGCTTGTAATTTATACAAATGTTTTAATAATGTTAAATTAAAGCTTTAAGGTGATAATTTAACTTAACTTTGTAATCATGTTTTTTTTTTTAATTGACTTGATTTTTTTTTAATTTAATTTAATTTTTTAATATATTTTAAAGTAACTATTTTGTTGAATTTAAAATTTTTTATGCTTTTTATAAAGAAAACACACAAACAAAACGTAAAAAAAAGAAAAGAAAAAAACCTTATTTTATAAATAAAGGTTAAGCTTATGAAAACATTAAATTTAAAACATGTACTATACTATAATTATGAAAGATGTTTGATAATTGATGATGATGAAAACAAAAAAAAAAACAAAGTATAAAGTTAACTGCATTTACATAAAGTGAAAATATAAAAATATATATTTTTAATAAAAAAACAAACATTTTACTTACATACAAACATACATTTAATTAAAATTAAAAAAAAAATAATAAAAAAACAACAACAAACAAATTGGCATTAAAAAAATGTTTTATAATAGGGTATGATTGAACTACATATGGGAACAGTTCCTTCTCCACTTTTTGAGAATGCAAATTAAAATGAGTGAGTAAATGAGAAAAACTACGACAAGCACCATAGAGTGAGAGTTTATGAAAGGGAGAAATTAAGGAAAAATTAGCACAAATCATTAACAATTCAAATTTTTTTGTAGTATTTTTTTACGCACATTACTATAGTTAAACAAACACCACTACAACTATTCTTTTTAAAAAAATTTACAGTTTTCGTTTTAGAACGATTATTTGCTTAAATGAAACAAAAACCACAAGATTTTCTAACTTAAATTTATAATTTAAGTTGCATTTTGTCGAGTAGACAAAATATTTTCCACTTAAAACTTAATACTTCTTCTAAAAGCCATAGTGCCATTGAAATTGTTTTTGTATTTTTGTATATGGAATAAAAGCGTTAACTCAAAAATGTAAGCGTTTTAAAGAAATACGCAAAAAGTGTAATGTGCAATAATAATTAAAACTAAAAATACAAGAAGGGAAATAAATAAGAAATAAAAAATACCTTTAAATATCATTAACGAATTTTATTTTTTATAATCATATACTTTTAAGCTTAGCCGTGACAGAGAAAGAAGTTGAGGATTTAACAATTTTTTTAGATTGTGTAAAACTAATTTAAGTTTTAATGATTATTATTTTATTTAACTTTTATTTTCTTTTTAATAAGTTTAAAACAAATTAATAAGTATCTGTATCTACATTGTGTATAAAATATATAAAACATTATGATTAATAAAAATGCATAAAACATTTTCGAGACAAAAAAAAAATAAGGGAATTTATCTTTCATTTTTATTAAGCTCTTTAAGGAGAAAATGTTTCTGTATTAAAGGCTTATCCAAAACATGTGTATTATTACTCATACCCGCTGTGTGAGGAGTATTTTCATAGCTATAGGAAAGTGTTCTTTTATAGATTCTTTGTTGAGTTTTTTGTACATTTTTCTTATTGTCTCTTGTACGTTCATTGCTATTACCTTCAATGGGTGTCTCTTCTTTATAACATTTTGTTGTTTTTTTGCCTTTAACTGTTTCACAATGGTAACATACTTTATTTTTGATTTTGTTTATAGTACAGGAGGAAGTAATATTGGCTTTGTTGTTATCCGCTTTTGAAACCTTTTCACCAGAATTTTGTTCTATTGTGTCTTTATTTTCACTAGTTTTTGGTGTGGCCCTATATTTGCGAAACTTTTGTTGTTTTTCAAACCCATAACTTTGCGGTTTAGTTTCTCTATTGTACGAACAACTTTCGGTGTTCTCACCATTGCGCAGATTTTTACAAATCAAACAATTTTGTTGGCCACGCAAAACTTTTTTACATTTTTCTGTTTTAGACGATTTTCGGCTGGCTTCAATGACAGGTTCGAGCGTCTCACTAGATTCTAACTCCTCTTCGCCACTATAAGCCTCAGCATCAAGCTGTTCATTATGCGAATTTTCTGAGCTTTCACTAGCTGAGAGGGCATCTGTTACTGAATCATCAAAATATTTTTTTACAAATTCTTCATATGCTTTATCGTAATCATAGGGCGACTTCTCCTCCAAACTTTCTTCCGATCCCTCGCCAATTCTTCTTTGTAATAAAATTTTATCGGAGTTAAGTGTTATGTTTTCTTCGTTATCCTTTAAATTTTCTGCAGTGCCATCATCACTTTTTCTTAACAATTGCACTTTCTGTGGTTCATGTTTATCTGCTAGGTGCTCAACTACTGGTTGTGTAAAATATTGTGTGCTGGAAGTTATAGTATCCAAGGATCTTAAGAGTTCTCCTGGTCTTGCTGTATTCCAAAAACTTTTCAAAGATTCTTGTTGTTGCTGTGGTCTTGTATAAGACAAATTTATATAACAAAGAACTGTTAATAATATTAATCCTTTGGTTGTCATCGTTGTTTCTTAACTACTAACCTCATTCACCGATTCCAATGCATTTATAGCGTTGTCAACTTATTCCACTGTTAAGTGAAGCATTAAAATTTGTCATTGTTATAATTTTGCTTAACCACAGATTTCGTATTTACAGTTATGAATAGATAATAGGTAAATTATAGTGTAAGCGGAAATTTAAGTTAAACAAAATGTTCAGTGAATGATTGATTTGGTCATTAACATTAGTGACCAATATTTTATGTGTACAAATATGTATAGCAGAAAAAGTTATTTCAATATAATCTTATTATTGTCTTACTATTTCCTGGAAACTTTAAATAATACATGATCATTTATTGAAAGTTATAAGCTAATATCTGGAGATTTTCAAACGGAAAACGTTAAAAACCAGAAAAAAGGATTCTGAACTCAGAATTGATCAATCATGTTATATTGTTTTTTAGCCATATATGAGACCTTATGTCAGCGCGATGACACCCATATTTATAAAATCTGTTATATCATCTGAAAGTCCAAGGTCTAGTTGAGTAGTTCACAACATCATTTTTAGAATGTTTAATATTCCCTAATAATCGGTAGATAGTCAAAAATAAAAGTTCCCAAAATGGTAAAAATTGGTTCTTAATAACTCTGATCTAATACTCAAAATAGAAACCACATTTGGTATCATGTAGAGAAATTTAAATTAATAGTTTAAGTAGTGTACAAGTCATAATTGAAACTGCCACGCCCTCCCACTCATATTTCTAGTAAGCCCAAGAAATCAATGAACATTTGCAAACATATAATTGTGTATATTGAAATAAAGTTTTTTTTTCTAATACATAATTTATTTTGGAACTTATATCAAATCCATTTTTGCTACTATTTAAATTAATTAAATTCCTTAATTTTCTGTACATAAAATAACAAAAGTAATAAATTGTATAAAGAAATGAAATCAAAATACATACGTATTTTATAAACTTTAGCACATTGCCGCAAAACAAATATAATATGTAATATTATAATAATTATAATAAAATATGCAAAAAGTATAAAAAAAAAAAACAATAAAACTTAACTAAAAATTATACCAATACTAGGAGGTAACTTCGGTATTATAAAAACCACTGGTCTGTAAATGATTTGTCATTTGAGGTGATTTGTTAGAAGCTTTTTGTCGCATATTACGCATTTCACGACGTTTTTCACGTATCAATTGTTTGGCCTGTTCCGTATCCATTTCCTCCCAATCACCCGAATTTTCATCAACCCAGTCCTCTAATTCAGCCTATAAAGCAAAAAGTTTTTTAAATTATTTAACAAAATATTATATACATTTATATAAATTTATTATTACATTTAGTGTAATGGGCACATCGGTTTTGGCCTCCAGACGTGAGAAATTTGTATTTGTTTGGGTATCATCCCCCAAGTAATACTTTAGTTGAGGTTTTATAACGGGGGTTAATTCCTAGATTTAATATAAAAAAGATTAACATTGTTTTACTTCAATCAAATCAGCCAATAATGTTAATAACATACTTTAAAGAAATCTGGTTCTTTTTCCTCAGTTTGCGGTGTAGGAGGTTTGGCAATTTGTTGACGGTATTGTTCAATATGTTCTTCAACTGTGCGTGGACTATCATCCCAAGAGTTCCAGTCTCTTTCAGTGGCCTAATTATAAATGCACACATAAATATATATCCTCTGTATTCTAAAAAAAACTTACCATTGATTTTGTGATTCTTGGCGACGACGACAAATTTGATTGTACCACAACATTGGTCATGGGTTCCGAATAACTTGGCTTGCGTTTGCGAGAAAAACAACATAATGCTCGACGCAATAAACCCACTATGCTCAATATGAGCACTTTTATTTGTTGAAAAACCATTTAGTTTTTGTAGAATTTATTAAAACAGCCAATATTTTCACTAATTTTCAGTAATAAAAAAAAATTGATTTGTTGACATTTGTATAATTTTTCGTTTAGCTGTCAAAACGTTTTTTTTTTATTTGTGTATAACAGTTGCGGTGTAAAATGAAAACACAGCAGAGTAGTATAAAAAGGTAGTATATAACAGTTACATATTAACTACCATTTCAAATTGAATTTGTTGCATTTAATTTTGAATTGAATTTTACTGAAACCAGCAAGTTTCGTTGAGTTCGACACAGAAACGTATATATTCCTTACGGGCTGATTGTGGAGAGGTTACAATGTTGGTTAAAAGACTGATGCATAGTTAAGTTTATAATCCGGTTAAATTCGGTGCTGTTGCCGAGACAAGATATGTATATATACCCCACAGAGGCATGACTGTGGGACTAAGCGTTGGAAATAAGTTGGTGTTAGAAGTATATGATACGGGTCTTCCTGCGCCCGTATACCTAGAGTGCGTGTGTCATTGGAATAAATGAGAAGTATTTTGGGTTGAATGGTGATGGATGAAATGCATCTTATACAAGTGATATCATTGAATTTTCCTTCCTTGTCCAGGTATTTTCATGTAAAAATCTGTTCATACCAGGTTTACCACGGTGTGTTCTCTGTGAGTAACAAGAAAGTACTTATTTGATGCTTGCCAAAGCTTATTTGATGGATTTGTGTTTCGATCTACCGAATACGCCTCTAGATGCTGTTGACGATTCAACAGAGGGCTTCCAATCTGCGTGGTTGTTAACGGAAGTGCTTGTTATTGCATATCGGAAGTTAAGCAACGGGGTAGCAATGGTCAGTGATTAGATAGCTCAAGCAAAGTGCTTGTACATGGACCGATACGAAAATTGACACCTGCGTCGTCAAAGAAGCTCACGCGGAGGATTAAAATTACCAACGTGAAATGAGGCCGACATGGCAGGACCCAGCAAAAAAAGTGTGGAAAAAGATGTAGAATTTTCATCACAACTAGTAACCCGAAGTGCTTCAAATTCGGGTGTAAAACCTATGAATTTTACATTTGCGTGTCATTGGAGGGATGTTGTTCATTTTTGGCAACTTTGAACTACATCTAATCTTATTTTTAGAAGCAGTAAAAATCCGATATTTGGATGTCAAAAATAAAACACATTCTCTTAATGACACGCTTATGTAAATTTCACTACTCTTTCACCAAATCTTGATGTACTTCAAATATGTTATTTGTAATGACTTTTCCACATATCTTTCCTCACTTTTAACTGGGGTTACATTTGTAAGGAAATATTTGGTTTATAAAAGTGAAAAATATGTAATCGCATTTTAAGATGTGATTAAGATGTAGTTTGTAAAGTATGACATCAATTATTTTTTGCTGGGGAGTTCATGTAAAGAACTGAGATATATTGTGCTGATGTTCATAACAACCAAAAATAGTTGTCCTACACCCATCTTTCTGAATCGATTAAGCTATGTATGTCCGTCCATTTGTGTGTCCATGTAAATCTTGTGCGCACGCAATAGGCTGCAATTTTCAAGGTAAATTGACAGATACTCTTTTTGATACAATAACTATTGAAAACGGTCCATTTTTCAGAAAATGATTTTATTATCAAAAGGCTCAATAACAATTTATTTAAAATGTTATTACAAAAATATGTATTTATCATTATGTTTCTTTCTTAATTTAAATTGCTGATGACTCTACTACAGTGGCATTAATTTTAGTACGTCTGCGAAATTTAACATAAATAATTTCTAAAATCCAGGGAAATGCACACAAGCCCATGAAAAAGTTCAGACAATGAAATGTTAATATATAATCCTGGGTTTTATCACGTAAATACCCTACCACGGGACCAATGGCAAACATAATATTACCCTGTAGAAACATAAAAAGACCATAGCCACTGGCAAATCTAAAATGAAACAAAATATAAATTTATATTAATGTTATATAGTTTTCACAAAATTCTTTAAAAACATTTATTTACCTTTCTTTTGGCAAATATTCAGCAAAAATTAATGGTAACGGTACATGTATCCAAGTACGTAAAAATCCCATTACGGCCGTTATAATTGACATACTTTTGAAATCGAAAGCATTTAGAAAAACTAGAAAAAATTTGCAAAATAATGCATTAAGTCCAAATACAACAAAGAAGTTATGATTAAAAAGATATATTTATTATGATTTATATTTTTTTTTTAACTCAAAGTAACAAACTTACATTTTAATTTTATAGATAATGAGATGGATGACTAAAATGTCTTAGAAACAATGTAGAATTGCTTTTATAGCAGTGATTAGTTTTTATGATTGTTATTTAGATATCAGTATTACAAAAAATTTGAAAATATTTGTACTAGTTTACTTGCAAAATGGTTCAAGGTTTAAAATTTCAGTTTTATAGATTTTCCTTCAAATAGGACGCTTAATTTAATTTTTTGTTCGGAGGTTTCATATTGAAAAAAACAAGTAAGAAAGTATAGTCGGGCGTGGCCGACCATATGATACCCTACACCAGTTATGAATATTAAATGTGATTTATTTTTCATAATATCGCATTTATCTTCAATATTCCCTTGTTCCGATACATTTAAGCAATTTATGGATGAAAAACTAAAGAAAGAGGCGTTATATGGGGGCTAGGGGCAAATATGGACCAAGCCCGATAAAATTTTGTGAATATATTTATATTTACATAATATTTTATTGTGCTGAATTTCATCGCGATATTTGTGTTTATAAGTTAATTTGGGACATTCAAGTAATTTTCTGAAGGGGACTTTGTATGGGAGCTAGGGTCAAATGGGGCCCGATCTTTATGAAATTTGGCAGGGTTATCAAGACTTCTATAAAACTTAGTTATGCCGTATTTTATCGATATATCTGTATATTTAACATAATTATGAGCTCAGAAGCCCTTTTCGGGGGGTTCTGTTCTATGGGGGCTAGGTGAAATAATGGACCGTGCCAAATTTCATCCAATTATCTTGAAAATTGCGACCTGTAGCTTGCGCACAAGGTTTACATGGACAGCCAGCCAGACGGACGGACGGACATAGCTTAATCGACTCAGAAAACGATTCTAAGCCGATTGCCGATTGGTGGGTCTAGGACGAATATTTTTATATGTTACAAACATCAGCACAAATCCAATATACCCTCCCCACTAAAGTGGTGTAGGGTATAATTAAACATATTATCCTAAAAGTTTCACTATCGTACTGTTTCTTTAATAAAAATTTATTAAAAATTACCTTTTTTATTAATGTGTCGATTAACTTTGTCGATTTATTAAAGTGTCGACATAAAAATAATGAAATTGATTTCAGTAATTCATTACAATTTTTAGGTCCGTCAACAACAGCTTTTAACAGTGTAATTAAATTTGATTTTAAGATTATGACGGATGGTCAAACGTAGGTTAAAACTACTCAAAAATAATTCTAATTCAATGAGATTTATAATGTAATTTTTGATAAAATTTATTGTTATTAGTTAATTAGACAAATTAAGATTTCATTAATTTCATAAAAACTTACCAAATCTTGATATAACAGTAAAAAATGAACCAGCTAGATAGATGTATCTGGAAGGCATTTGTACGAAGACCGCTAAAAAGGCTAAAAATATACGAGAACCTAAATCAGCTGCAGCACCAATTGCTATAACACTGGCAGTATCGGGCTAAAAAAAAATAAGCAACCTTTCAGATATCCAAACAATATTATAGGAATTTTTATAAACACCCACCTTATTAAAACCCAATTCGAACATATACAAAGGTTGCAAAGTAAAGAATGCAATATCCGAATATAAAGCAAAAGATATACCTAAAACTATATTAACATAGATGGGTTTCTTTAAAAGTGTCAGATCTAAAAAGTCCACTATAATTTGGCATATTGAGCGTTTCTCTTCTTTATCACATGGCAGAGAATTAACAGCTGAAACTATGGTAGAAGGTCTGCGTGAACCCAAAACATTTGACATTTCCGGTGAAGCGTCCGAAACCACTATGGGACCAGTCCAGTTACCCAAACTTGTTATACTCGAACAACGACTGGAAATTTTCTCCAACATTTCACGTGATAATTTTTGAGAACTTTTACGGTTGTACATGAGAGGTGAAAGATGATTTGAGTCTTCTTCACGGCAGTCATTAGTATTCGATATTTGCTCTACTTGCTCTTTTGGAGTAACTCTTGCCAGCTCTAAAGTATTATCAATTTCCTGAATTTCTTCATCTTCCACCTGTACTTTACGCATATGCCATTCCACTGGTTGCATTAACAACATACCCAAAACAGCATGCGAATTTATGGCAGCCAAAACCATTAGACAACCTCTAAAACCATAGGCTTCTAAAAGTTTTTGCATTAATACCGGATAAAACATGGAACCAACACCAATCAATGATTGAGCAAAACTCATCCACATAATACGTTTTTTAACAAAATAATTATTAAAAGTGGTATAAGAAGTGGGTACCATTAGGCCAAAGCCTGTGCCCTGTATAAGACTAAAAGCCAATAACAGGGTAATAGTAGATGTTACGAATATCTGCAGTAGAGAGCCTACAAAATACAGGGTGCCACCTAATAAACCTACCGTTCGTAAACCAAAACGATTAAATAAAGACCCCGAAAACAGACCGGCAAAACTAAATGCACAGAAGAAAGCACTAGTTATAAAACCAATTGCACTTGTCTCGGCTCCGATACTTTTCAGGAAATCTCCAAAAACCAAACCAAACGAAGGCAAAGCTGCCAAGCCGCTAATCTGTAAGTTTATATTATAGAAATTTCAACTATTTTCGAAATTTATTAAATTTGAATACATACAAATGGCATGGCCATGCCTATGCACACCAAAATACCCCAGCCTCCATCCGGTGGTTCTAAGCGAGTTTTTGTTTTCATTTCTTTTTATTTTAAATGCAACGTTTCTCCAACAACTTTCAAATATCAAATGATTGTGTAGATTTGAAAGTTTTTTAAATTGGACCAATTTTAGTTTTATATAGATAGTGTTAGGTAGCAGCATCTTATTATTTGTTAACTGGGTGCCAAAAGATAACAAAGATAAGGGTTATATTACACCTGATATAGACTGATCTACGTAGACACTTTTATAGTACAACTGATTTGATATCGTCAGTTTAATCAGTCGCAGGAAATTGTAAGTAGTTAGTCAAATTAGTTTTTTATTATCTACTTATTAGGAGTGATTTCATTTCATCATTTAACTTGTTCAAATAAATTTAAGTAAAGGATGTAATTAAAACAATTTCGGGCTTTAGGTGTTTTGAATAACAAGTGTTATTATTTGTGTTAGATAAAAATATTGTATTTGTTTTGCTGTTTGTCTGTGGAGGCTTGTATCTTTGCTATAGGGGGTTTATAATTTTATGACTACAATACTATAACAATTATATACTAGTGCGCAACCTATTAAATTTATTTTATCACAGGACTTTGAGTAAATGGCATATACATAATTTTATTATGAAATAAAAGGAATCCCATACTCATATAAAAACTTACAAAAATTTGTAAAAGTTTTCGAATAGGCCTTATCATATGACATATTGATGTATGACCTGTGATTGGACAATTGTTCCGAGTAAATGTAACGGCATTAATACTAATTTTTGGAGTACTAGAGTGATGTTCGCTATATGTTTCTCTAGAGGAATTCAGATAATTTTTTGACCAAACTCTATAACTACTAACTAACTAACTAACTAACTAACTAACTAACTACTAACTAACTAACTAACTAACTAACTAACTAACTAACTACTAACTAACTAACTAACTAACTAACTAACTAACTAACTAACTAACTAACTAACTAACTAACTACTAACTAACTAACTAACTAACTAACTAACTAACTAACTAACTAACTAACTAACTAACTAACTAACTAACTAACTAACTAACTAACTAACTAACTAACTAACTAACTAACTAACTAACTAACTAACTAACTAACTAACTAACTAACTAACTAACTAACTAACTAACTAACTAACTAACTAACTAACTACTAACTAACTAACTAACTAACTAACTAACTAACTAACTAACTAACTAACTACTAACTAACTAACTAACTAACTAACTAACTAACTAACTAACTAACTAACTAACTACTAACTAACTAACTAACTAACTAACTAACTAACTAACTAACTAACTAACTAACTAACTAACTAACTAACTAACTAACTAACTAACTAACTAACTAACTAACTAACTAACTAACTAACTAACTAACTAACTAACTAACTAACTAACTAACTAACTAACTAACTAACTAACTAACTAACTAACTAACTAACTAACTAACTAACTAACTAACTAACTAACTAACTAACTAACTAACTAACTAACTAACTAACTAACTAACTAACTAACTACTAACTAACTAACTAACTAACTAACTAACTAACTAACTAACTAACTAACTAACTAACTAACTAACTAACTAACTAACTAACTAACTAACTAACTAACTAACTACTAACTAACTAACTAACTAACTAACTAACTAACTAACTAACTAACTAACTAACTAACTAACTACTAACTAACTAACTAACTAACTAACTAACTAACTAACTAACTAACTAACTAACTAACTAACTAACTAACTAACTAACTAACTAACTAACTAACTAACTAACTAACTACTAACTAACTAACTAACTAACTAACTAACTAACTAACTACTAACTAACTAACTAACTAACTAACTACTAACTAACTAACTAACTACTAACTAACTAACTAACTAACTAACTAACTAACTAACTAACTAACTAACTAACTAACTAACTAACTAACTACTAACTAACTAACTAACTAACTAACTAACTAACTAACTAACTAACTAACTAACTAACTAACTAACTAACTAACTAACTAACTAACTAACTAACTAACTAACTAACTAACTAACTAACTAACTAACTACTAACTAACTAACTACTAACTAACTAACTAACTAACTAACTAACTAACTAACTAACTAACTAACTAACTAACTAACTAACTAACTAACTAACTAACTAACTAACTAACTAACTAACTAACTAACTAACTAACTAACTAACTAACTAACTAACTAACTAACTAACTAACTAACTAACTAACTAACTAACTAACTAACTAACTAACTAACTAACTAACTAACTAACTAACTAACTAACTAACTAACTAACTAACTAACTAACTAACTAACTAACTAACTAACTAACTAACTAACTAACTAACTAACTAACTAACTAACTAACTAACTAACTAACTAACTAACTAACTAACTAACTAACTAACTAACTAACTAACTAACTAACTAACTAACTAATTAACTAACTAACTAACAAACTAACTAACTAACTAACTAACTAACTAACTAACTAACTAACTGACTGACTGACTGACTGACTGACTAACTAACTAATTAACTAGTATGTCTTAAAATTTAACTAGTATGTCAATTCAGAATAATAAGCCCTCTGGTAGTTTGTACACTTTCCTATACCTTAAGCATACTAAAACTACCGGGGAAAAATTGTTCAGAATTGGCTTTATTTTAAACCTTTACTTGGTAATTAAAGTTTTTGTTGGGTATTTTTAAACATATTTTCCAATTTTAAATGTAATGCATAAGATTGTTTTTAATTGTTTTTGTATTTATTTTTTTTCAATTTTTAGTTTTGTTAAATATACACTATTTTTTTTTAAACCTAATAGTTGTAGTAACAATTGTACATCGAAATTATGTAAGACACTTTTTATATGTTTAATATGTATATTTGTCGGTTTAAGGCCTTTTTGTAATAACAAATATTGTCGTATAATTTGCCAAATTTCAATAAATGGTATTATTAGTTTTGTATTAAAATAAACCGGCCAAAATTTCATATATTTTTTTACATTTATTAAGTTATAGCCTAGTAAGTCCTTAAAAAAAGTATTAAACTCTAGCTTATATTAAAATTAAATGTTAATTAAACAACTAAATATAAGGATTTATGTCCGAAATACTAAAGTAAGTTTTTTGTTTATATAAGTACAAGTACTGGCAAATGTTTTTTTTTTTAATTAAATAATAATAATTAATATAAAGAAAATAATAAAATATCGAAAAATTTTGTATTTTTATCGTTATTAAATGTGAATGTTAAACAAACATTAACATAAATATTCAGACTGGTCACCGATTTCTAGTGACATTCAGGATAATAATAAGTAAACATTACAATTTTACTTAATATCATAATAAAAACTTGTTACAGTTAGTTTAATATATAATGTTGGGTTTTTGTTGTAAATGTTATATAAATATTCATATTCACTAAACTTAAATTAATTAAAATTTTGAACTATCACATATAAGTTCGTTTTAATTTGTTTTTTTGTAAATTTCTTATGATATTTTCTTATTAAACATAAAAGTACAAAACATAAATACAAATACAAGTGTATACAAAATAATTCAATTTTAAAGATATCGAAAATAAATATATAGATAATTTGCCTTTTCAAAATTTAAGTATATGTCATTTTTTCAATATATTTTTGTTACATATTATAGATACATTAGGTATATATAAATTATATGTATTGTAAATGTATTATTGTATTTGAATGTACATATGTATAGTTATAAATATTTGTATAAAAATTAGAAATTGGTCTAATATACTTTATTATTTATTAAAAAAAAAGTTTTAATTTAATAACGAAAGCTACTATTGTTTGTAACTTATATCGGGAGCATTATTATCTGTTGCAGCTTCAGCTGCTGCTGCTTTTTTCGACTTTCTCAGTTGCATGTATTCAATGAAATATTCGATGGTCCAGGCCACACCACACAAGAGAATACAAACACTTTGAGCATGAATACAAATGGGATAACTATTGGTAAGATCACGTATGAGTCCTAATATATTATAACAGAAAAGAAAAACAAATAAGTTTTTTGCACATTAAATAGAGTTATGAGTTGACTACTTACCGATTAGGGGACCAAAACATATAACGAATACAGCTTTACCTACTAAATGCCAACCGAAGGCTGAAGGTAATTTCTCCAGAGAACAGTACTCAGAAACTGTAAGTGTAAAATTACTGAGTGCTGAACCTCTGAAGAAACCACAGATTGACAGCCAAATCATTAGTTGACTCCATTCTGTTTGTTCGGCCATAACTTGAAAGAATAAAAAATTGATTAAGATAAAGTAAATGCATGCATTTAAAACATAGAGTCCAAAGATCTTAGAGAACAACAAAACTTGCAACATGGAAATTAATTTTTTTTTCTTAAAAATATTTACAACATTAAAAAAATAAAGGGTTTTGAAAACTTTAAGACTTCATGTTTGTTAACATTCCAAAAGTTACTTACTTGATCTGGTTATGGCCACAAATATAATGGATACCAAGAACACGGTACGTTTTTTAATATTCGTACGGTCGAATATGGGCGGCAAAACAATACGAGCAGCAATATCGGTAATAGCGGTAATGGACAAACAATAGGCCACATCGGCTTTATTATAACCCAAATTGGCAAAGAAGAATGGTGTCACCATTTTGAAATTCATTTCGGCCACATAAAATATCGATAAGCCGAAGAGTATATTCAGGAACATTTTGTCTTTTAGCAAGTCCACATCCATAAGATCAGCAAATCTCGTCCAAAAACCAGGTTTCTTTTCAGCTTGTTTTTCAGCAGCTGCAATTTCGGTGGCTTTTTCCAATTCGGTCGGTTTCATTTTAATAAAAGAATCACGGTGGGCATTACCAAAAGCTCCCGTCGCCGTGCTAACTCTCTTCAGCTCACGATCATTTTGTTCGAATTCATCATCACCCACATTCATGTGTACTTGTAAAATGGAACCAGTAAAATCCATATAAGACAAGTTGGAAGTAACCGATTGTTTGCGATTTCTTAAAGTCATATTAACATCACTATTTGAGGCATAACCATTAGCAGCCGATTGTACACCAGCCAAAGACATAATGCGGGGAAATGTTGGTCTCTTGGGCAGGCCCAGTCTGGAGCCCACCATAGTGTTCATATTCATTTCGGAGAAATTCTTTCGCATTTGCTGCTGCTGATGATTGTGTTTGTGGAAGAGCAAAGTATTCATTTCGGGTAGAGCATCTTCTTCGGTGCCGTCCTCTTGGATAACCTTAAATTCTGGTGGGGCTGTAGCTGCGATGACTATCATTTCTTCATCGATTTTTTCATCTTTCATATGCCACTTGGCCGGTTGTAATAACACCGAACCCACGGTGGCATTTAAGGCCACGCCAGCTAATAATAATACAGCTCCACGAAAACCAAAAGCTTCCAATAGAACTCTTACCAGCTGGGGCATAATCAACATACCCAATGCGGTACCGGCCATCGATAATCCCACAGCCTGACCACGTTTATATTTAAAATAATGATTTAATGCCACAAACGCCGCAGAAGTTGCTAAACCCACACCAATGCCATTTAAAACACCATATGTCCCAATTATATGGGCCATACTCGCCGCCGGGCTTGTACACGCCAAACCCAGAGCGCAAAGCAGTGAACCGGCAATGGCTACTTTGCGATAGGAGAACTCCTTTAGTAAGGGCCCCACAAAAAGGCCCGAAAAATTCATACATACATCTAAGGTACTAATAATCACAGCTGCACCAGTGGTACCCACATTGAGATCACGTAATAAATCACCGAACAATAGACCAAACGAGGGTTCTATTGAACGTGTGGCCAACTGAAAGAAAACAATTAAAATATATATTTATTGGTGGATTTGACAAATTGGATAAACTTTAATTAAATTTATGGTCAACATTATAAAGGTTCTCATGTGTTCTCATTGATTTTAATGGTAGTACAATAAAATGGTAAAAATATAGAGACTGATTTGTTATCGATAAATGTATGTATAACCCCCGATTAGAAAATATTATTAAAAATTGGAAAATTATAATAACAATTGGATAAATTTTTATTAAATTTATGATCAACATTATAAAGGGTTTCTTGTGTGAATGATTTTAATGGTGGTACAATAAAATGGTAAATATATAAAGATTGATTTGTTATCGATATGTATATATAACCACCGATTAGAAAATATTATTCAAAATTGTAAAATTTTTATAACTACATATTGATATGGAAAGTACATTTAATAAACCGTGATTGGTAGTGATAAAATGTTAAATATTTTCAGATTATTAGGGGTAAAAATTTAAATACGTATGTACATTAGGATGGACCCATTTTGTATGGGGAACAATAAGGTGCATTCCATTTTATCCTTTGATCCAGTTCACCATATTGATCCCAGGACAAAAATTTTGGGAAAAGGTATTTTAGAATAAGACAAGCTTTCATTTCCGAAGGAACATCAGTACCTTATTTTTCTCCATACAAACGGTCCAACTCTGATGTATAAAAAACTTTAGAATTTGAATTCATTTTCATTAAAGATGTTTGTATAATACCCGTTCGATATCCTACTTAATTAAAAATTAATAAAAAAAGTAAAATGGAAAAAATTTATTACTTCAAAGTCAGCCTGAACGGGTTCAATATTTATCTGTGTTTAAATAACTGGTTTGTTACTATATAAAACTGATCAATTAAATACCTATTATCGATTATGTCAATAAACAGAAATTTTTAAGCTAAAATTAATGGTTTCTCTGAACCATTTTCAAAGTCTGTTCATAGTACACTTAACAAAATTCTTCAGAACATAAAAAAATTTAGTTCAAATTAATATAAATTTAAAAGATCATTTGAACCTACTAAAATTTTAATATTTCCTCATAGGGCACCAAAATTAATAATCATACTTTGGAATAAATAT